TCAAAACACAGACACCCTCTAGCTAATTACTGTAACATTGTTGCTGTAGCATAGTCAAGAGGATTCAAAATCTACTATTCATGCTAAATACTGTAGCACATGCGAGAATCGTAGTGATAAAAAATGTTACTGTAACATTATTTCTGTAGCTCAGGCGTTATACTGTAACATTTAAAAATGTTACTGTAGCATTTTTACAAAAAAATATATAAATACAGAATTATGCGAAAATAGAAAATTAGACGCCGTGCTTTGTACGGGGGTGCACCCTAGCATCTATTTTATGACAGTATGAATATAAGTTTATGACAGTGCGGATAATAAGTTTATGATAGTATTGATATAATTTATCCTTACAATTTTTATTTTAAAAAAATTACCCATTATCAACAGTTTCCCCCCTAATCATTGATTTATTAAGCGCGCGCACGTAGCATATATAAAGGGAGCGAACCTATCAAAGTAGAAAGAACAAGCAAATATTAAAAAAGAAATCCTTACAAAAGAAAGCATTAAAAAGAGAAAAAAAATCCGAAATCTTTGCTCTCATTCTTCAATCTCCGCAATTTTTTCTTTCGATTTAATCTTCGCCCGTTCATCAAAAAATAGGGCCGAGAGAGAGAGAGAGCAATAGAGCTCATATCCCTTCTCTTCGATATCCCAATTTTGCTCTAAATCTCTGTCTTCACTCTCCCGGTGAAATCTCGACCGATCGAGGGTTTCTAGGGTTCGTTTGATCGCGATGAATAAGGTGGAGGTGACGGCAGCGGTCTTGTGCGCTGCGGCGGCCGGTCGCTGCGGCGGCGCTGGATCGCGGAGGAACCGGAAAGAAGAGCTCCGGCCGGTGGAGCGGGCGGCGGCGATCCTGAAGGAACTGGAGGAGAAGTGCGCGGACGCCGATGGAAAGTTGAGGCAGATGGCGCGACGCCATGGCGCGTCGAGATGAAGGCTGGGCTTGCGTCTGATGGCGGGAACAAGCTCAAGATGGCTTATCAGCTACGTCGACAACCTCCCAAAAGGGTAAAAAAAATATATTTTATTGATTTGTTAGATGCTACGCCTGTGAATTTCCTTGATTTCCGTATTTTTTAGTAAAATTTCCCTATTATATGTAGGGGGAGCACGGTTCGGTTCGGGTGCGGTTTTTACCAAAATTTAAACAACCGAACCGAACCACATACAATTTCAAAACCGAACCGAAACACTTACAAATCGGTTCGTGCGGTTCGGTTCGGTTTTGGTTTTCGTTTTAACTTCATCAAGTATAACTTCACTTCAATTTTATATTTTATATATTATTATTACCCTATGCCAGCATGCATTGTTTTTTTAACTTCACTCCATTTATTATTCTTGCTCATGTATGTATACTGTTTTTAAGTGAAAGTAACTTGTCCTTTTGGGATTAAATACTAGACTCTGACGTTGTAATTTTTAGTAACGAACTTGCTTTGTCTTTGTGTAGCAAGCTTTGACTTTGGGTTTTTGTGGAGACAAAAAAAAAGAGCTGACTCATTAGGAACATTGGTTATGTATGAAATCAATTCCCTGCAACTGCTATTCATGGTGATCGAACACAACAATAAACCACACAAATCAAAGGCACAAATATATTCGGTTGTTCGGTTCGGGTCGGTTGAAAAATTGTCAACCCGACCCGAACCGCCTTACTCATAAAACCGCTTACCACTACAATTTCAAAAACCGAACCGAAGCCAGCCCCCCCCCCCCCCCCCCCCACCCCCCCCCCCCCCCCTTTACAAATCGCGTTGTGCGGTTCGTATCGGTTTTTCGGTTTCGGTTTTAACTTCATCAAGTATAACTTCACTTCAATTTTATATTTTATATATTATTATTACCCTATGCCAGCATGCATTTGTTTTTTTAACTTCACTCCATTTATTATTCTTGCTCATGTATGTATACTGTTTTTAAGTGAAGTAACTTGTCCTTTTGGGATTAAATACTAGACTCTGACGTTGTAATTTTAGTAACGAACTTGCTTTGTCTTTGTGTAGCAAGCTTTGACTTTGGGGTTTTTGTGGAGACAAAAAAAAAAGAGCTGACTCATTAGAACATTGGTTATGTATGAAATCAATTCCCTGCAACTGCTATCATGGTGATCGAACACAACAATAAACCACCAAATCAAAGGCCACAAATATATTCGGTTGTTCGGTTCGGGTCGGTTTGAAAAATTGTCAACCCGACCCGAACCGCCTTACTCATAAAACCGCTTTTTCCGGGTCGGTTCGGGTCGGTTCGGTCGGTTTTTTCGGTTTGAACCGAACCGTGCTCACCCCTAATTATATGCATTCTTATTTCTTGGACGAGTGTAATTCTTAAGGGTAAATTACAAGAAACCCTTCATCTTTACCCTGTTTGCCAAAAAACCCTCATAAAAGATGTTCATTAAAAGCCCCTTCATCTATGGTCATTAATGAAACAGTTAGAGTGAAGTCTGGGCAGATATCCACCAGCAGAATTCCAGCTGAATGATAAAAATGTCAGATTTTTTTATTTTATCTGAAAACTGACTTTTTTTCTCTATCTTTCCATTTAAAAACATCCAAAATCTCTGATTTTTGAAGTACAGATCTCTATCAAGACGTCCATTTAAGCGCAAACAACTACATAGAACAAGATTCTATATCAAATTTAATGGTTTTATTAAGGGATAGATGAGGGAGCTCTTTATTGAACTTTTTAGATGAGAGGGCTTCATGATAAACATGATATAGATGAAGATACCTTTTTCTTATAAAAAAATATAGGAGCATTAGTGCTTGGATTGCTTTTTGTGATCTTTCCTTGTTGCAGATATTTTATGTTAAAATCGTGCTGAACTTTCTGGTTCGTTGATTTTTATCTATTATGGTTTATATTGGTGAAAGTTCCTCACTTTCATATTTTTTGCTCATCTTGCTTTATAAACTTTCTGTCAAGTGGATTAACATACTTTCCTTGAGTAAACCGTCAATAAAGATTTAATGCGCATCCATACCTTGTAGCTTGTCCCTTTTCTTTGTATTTAGGAGTGCGCTTAGATTATTGCTATGAATTTATTTCTGTATATATTTTTTAAAGATGATGTCTACTTTGGTCCCCAGATCTTTCAAATGTTTTGTTAATCTTCACATAAAAAATTAATGAGATTTTAGTTGAGATTTACCAAGTGACGAGTTAGCTTAATTTAATAGAAGTGAAAGCCAAAAGCTATAACTGGTTCTGGCCATTGAGGTGTCAAAATTGATAAGTCACAACAACTAAAGATGATTATAATCGTACTTAACTGCCCCTGTAAGGTTTAAGATGCCAAAGTATCTATCTTTGCAAATGCTATGTGTCAGTATTAAGTACAGGGGAAATCTTCCTGCATAACGCATACTGCTTGTCAGAAACGAACTCTAGTGCAAGTAAAATACTCTGTTGTGTCTCTTAATGAACTTAAGACTAATTCTTATACCCTAGAGAAGGCTTAAGATGAAGAACGGGAGTACAAAGTGTGAGGAAGATTGAAAAGTTTGAGTCGGGCTGAATTCCGTGACTCTCTTCATATTTGTGTCAAGTAAAAAAGTCTTCTCTCAGCATTTTGAGAAGTTGATGCAACACAACAATGAAAATGTGTTGCTTGAGCATGAAACTACTACCTTTCATCGGAAATTTTGTAATTCACTGTTGATATAGGTGTATTATTACCTTAAACCTATGAAATCTTCACATAGCATCAGCCTGACACATATGGTTCTGGAATACAGTACCTTTTCTCATTAAATATCAACAGATCATGTTTAATTCAAGGTTTCCAACCATACTTTTCTTCAAAAATTCGGATTGAGACATTTGCTATCGGAGTTTGTGATCTGTAGGGACGAGAAGGGATTGTTTTATGCACTAGATCTAGGAGGAACCAACTTTCGTTGTTTGCGTGTACAACTTGGTGGAAAGGAGGGACGTGTGGTCAAACAGGAAGCTGAGGAAGTCTCAATTCCCCCACACCTGATGGTTGGAAGCTCTCATGTAAGTAAATTCCCCAATGCACTTCAACTTTTATTTCTCCTCGATTCATATGCTTTAAGATTTCGTAAATTGTGGTTTCAGGAACTCTTCGACTTCATTGCTTCAGCATTGGCAAAGTTTGTTGCTTCTGAAGGCAACAATTATCCCCTTCCTGTTGGAAGACAGAGGGAATTAGGCTTTACTTTCTCTTTCCCAGTGCGGCAGACTTCAATTTCATCTGGCAATCTAATTAAGTGGACAAAAGGATTTTCCATTGATGACACGGTTAATTTTTGAAACCGGGTTCTTATTAGTTACCTTTCTGTATCATATTTTTGGTACTACCTACAATGTGCATGACCAATTTCTTGAACTTTTTGTGTTTTAGCTTTAAGCTATTATTTTATTTAATGTGAGCCAATGAAGTCTGTGGTTTATGATGAGCTCTTCAAATATATGTATGCAACTCATTATCATTCATTGTGGCTGTGCAAAATCTTTTGTTTATTGTTTACATGTTATTTTTATCATGATGATGAAACTTCTTTTGCTGATGTTGATTATTGGCGACATTATAGATAATAGGTCACTTTGAGTGAAGGCAAAACTTACTGACAATCTCATGCATTTTGCATCTTTCTGCTGAAACATTCTCTCTTCAAGCTATTTTTGTACGATTTATTTCAAGGAAAATCAATGTGCCTACTTATTACACTGCCTCATCTATTGCACCAGACATTAAACAATGTGATAGGCCTTCTGAGTTGCCGAAGCTTGTAGCCCAAGTTTATCATATATGTTAATGTACTCTCTTTTCTTATTCATCACATGACTAATAATACCTATAACCATTGTTGCAAGACCACATTCTAGAGTCTAATTGTGTCATGTGCTTCATACTTTCATAAATCAACATCTCAACATAGTTAGATGATAACAACTGAACCAGTCTCATTCCTGTGGAATCAGGTAGGAGAAGATGTAGTTGCTGAATTGACTAAGGCAATGAAAAGACAAGGTCTTGATATGCGCGTTGCAGCATTGGTGAGTACTTTCATATCTTCAGTTATGCAAAGCCATAATAGATGCAAGTATAGGATATAGTTTGGAGACTATATATGACATGAAACTAATTGTATTGTAGGTCAATGATACAATTGGAACATTGGCTGGGGGTAGGTACCATGATAATGATGTTGCTATTGCCGTGATATTGGGCACTGGTACAAATGCAGCATATGTAGAGCGAGCACAGGCAATACCCAAGTGGCATGGCCCCCTACCTAAATCTGGAGACATGGTAAGCATTTTTCTAGTTGCTGTTTCTTCTTCAATATCTTTAGGCCACAGTTGATATTGACAGAACATAGTCAATGTTTAACTGTTTCATTATCATCTCATCTAGTTGTGTGGATGTTCTATGAACAGCTTGTATTTAACTTAGAATACTGTCGTTGTAGGTAATCAACACGGAATGGGGAAATTTCCGGTCATCTCATCTGCCATTGACAGAGTATGATCTAGCATTGGATACTGAAAGTTTGAATCCTGGTGAACAAGTAACACTTTTATCTTATCTCTTGACGAGATTGATAATTGCTAAATTTTATGATTACCTTTGATGCTGCAAGCTCAAGTTTTTCTTTCTGGAATCTAGATCTTTGAGAAATTAACTTCGGGAATGTATCTTGGAGACATTGTAAGAAGAGTACTCTGGAGGTTGGCTGAAGAAGCTTCCTTTTTTGGTGATAATGTTCCCCCCAAACTTCAAGTTCCATTTACATTACGGTATGTCAGGCAAAAACTTGGACGTATTTTAGTTAGTTTTTTCATTTGTTTTATTTAATTGATATCTTTGGAAGGTACTGTCTTGTTAAGGCTCTCTACATGAAGAGAGCTTGTGAAGATAAAGTGAAAGAAAGTAAATATAGTTATTTACACTGTTTTGGAAATAAAGTTGATGCAGTGGAGATAATTTAGCAAGGTTACATGTCTAGTTAATTTGCTTGTGTTTACATTGCTCTTTGCTGAGCCAAAGTCTATTATCATTTAGTCGGTGTTTATTGTGGGCTAATTACGGTTTGTACTCCGTGGAACTGGGAGAACTGGGGACGAGAGCAACATCCAGCTCCAGCGACGCCCTTATGCTGATTTTAGTGAGAATTGAGTGATGTACGTAACAACTTGATTTGATTTACTGAAATGTATGCACTGAACATAACACACTGACTAGTTGCTTTAACCATCAAGTCCGTCTTGTTGCTAGGGTGAATACTGCATTGACAGGATTGTTATTGTCCACAGTAGTCCTGCTAGCCCCTTGTTCAATGTTAGGAATAGGTAAAAACATCTTAGGAATTTATTCCTTGCACAACTGGTATGCTATGAAAATCTGATATTGTACTACCATTATTACATTTTCCTTGACACGTCATGCAGGACTCCTGTCATGTCTGCCATGCATCATGACTCATCATCCGACCTGAGAGTTGTCGCTGATAAATTAAGGGATGTATTCGGGGTAAGTTCTCTCAATTTCTATCAAAGATCTCATCTTTAAACAAAAAAAAAAAAATCCTGATTCAAATTCTACCAACATCTTCTGAAATCTCAGATAACTAATACCTCCTTAAACACAAGAAAAACCATCGTAAACATATGCGATATAATTGCCAAGCGTGGGGCCCGTTTGACCGCTGCCGGACTTGTGGGAATGCTAAAGAAGCAGGGCCGAGACACCAAGCAGAGGACGGTGATTGCAATGGACGGAGGGCTCTATGAGCACTACACAATATTCAGCAAGTGTCTGGAGAGCACTCTTGCTGAGATGCTCGGAGATGAGGTAGCAAAGAATGTTATAGTTACCCATGCAAATGATGGCTCCGGCATTGGAGCCTCTCTCCTTGCAGCCTCTCACTCTCAATATCTCAACGAGTCTTGAGCTGGGGGGAGGCTTTTTTATTTTTATATTTGTTCCTTCTCATTATTTATAAGGGAGCAGATGAGGAGGAAGTCATCGGTATTGGTCTCACAAAGATGTATAAATTGCAGGAGTTTTGTAGCCCTGCAGAGCGCAGCTTAAGAGTAAATTTTGTTTATGTAATTTCCCCCCCTCTCTCTTTTTTTCTCCCCATTTTCTTATATGTTCTTTCTGTGGCCGTTTCTATTTTCTCCTGACCATTTGATAATAAGACCAGGGGAGTTTTAATGGTATCGTTCTGGTTTCTGCTTCTTGTAGAGGTTTTTGCTCTGTTTTTTGCTTAAGAGAACAGAGGATGATGATTCTACTATCAATTACCAATTTTGCTTGGCAGGACAATTTTACTGTGTCTTACACAAGGAAAAATCCAATGATCTCATGTGTATAGACCTCTAGAGTTACTGCTTGGTGCAAAATAATTTTACATCTCTTTCTTCAAGCCATAGTTTCAAATTTGTTTGTGCATACAAATTTCAGCTAAAAGCAGTAGACATCCTATCAGAATCCATTTGAATGAATTTAACCATTCCGTACGTGCTTGCTTTCAATAATCTGTTTACACATTCTTCACACAATACCATGTGCACGCACGAATAAAAAACTAAAGCAAACAATACTTCAACAGATAAAAATTTCAAACTTGCACAAATATTATCTGCTCAAAACCGTGAACTGCACAAAAACCTGTATTAAACATGGCATCCTATGTTTCTGTATGGGTAAATTACACTAAATCCCCAGGAACTTTCAGTAAAACCCAATAACTTCCAAAATCGCGCAAAACCCCCCAATAACCTTTTGGCATTGCAGAAATCCCCAATAAATTTTCGCGTTTTGGAGAAAACTCCCACAAACTAGAGCCAAAAAACAATATAAAAAGGCATTTTAAAGGTTGTTGGGGTTTTAGTTAAATTTACCCAAAATATAATGGGCGTTTTCTGCAAAGTTATTGGGGGCTTAATTCAATTTTGGAAGTCCTCATATACGCATATAAATATCCAGCGTGAGATCGCCGCCGCCGCCTCCACAGATTTCCACTCCGTCAACTTCGACGGCGGAGATCGTGGGGCCAACATCAATTTTTCAAGTCGGGGAGCCTAGCCGCAAACGGCGTCGATAGTCATCGGCTCAACAGAAGGAAGTGGAGAGCGACGCGGAGCTAGGGTTTTTCTTTGACGCATTTTGTCGAACACTTGGTGGGTTTGTACGAGGGAGTGCGAGATATCGGTTTCAGATCGTGATTTGTGCTCTGCTTTCCACGGTATGCTGTTTTTTATGGTGAATTGTGCGTAGATTAGTAAATATCGGCAATAACATGCCAATTGGTGCAACTTTCCGTGGAATTTCAGACTACTTTTTTAATTTTTGCTCGAAACTTTTGAAAATTGTAAAGCGTGTTGTTACCTTTTTGGGGAAAAAAACGACCAAGATGTTTGTTTCAACTGATAGAGAGTGATTGAAAACCATGACATGTTCTTTGAGTTAGAAACCCGCATGTTAAAAATTTGTGATATGTAGTACGGTAACGTCGGGCCAAATTTTATGTTCTTGGGAAGAATCTTATTGTTGGAATTAATGTACCTAGTATGGTCTTTGAAGAGAATGCACAATCTTTGTTGTGTGTGCGTGAGCACACCCACACACACACACGCAAGCACGCACAGACCCACACACCCCCACACTTACCCATGCACGAACGCAAGTGAACCCACATGTCCGCCCGCCGGCGCATGCGTATACACAAGAATAGGTGGACCTCACACTCCTATCTCCAAGTAGCTCTTAGTTAAATGAGCTGATATCTTCTGTCTACTATACCACATATATTAGTGTGTGGGTATGTGGGGATGGCTGGGTACGGTTTGTCTGTGTGAGCGAGTGTGCATCCTCGTTTTGATAAATGAGCTACTAAGGTATAACCTTGTGGTGAGGCCACCCTGCTATTCACATAGGAAGGTGTGGACCTCACTGCTTCTATCTCATTTTTCTAAATAAAGTGACATCTCAGATCTAGTATCCAGCATGTGTCAGTGGATTGACTTATACGTGTGTGCATATTATGTATTTATATGTATATACATACACATGTATTGTCCTTAAAAAATTGCTTTTCACATATCTTTATAAAATGGTTTGCTTGAACTATATTGTTATATAGTCATAAGGTAGTAAGGTAACATAATAAAAATCTGAGCCAACAAGAAATATGGAACTATTCATCTACAAACATTTTATGGAACTATTCATCTACAAACATTTTTAGAATAAGTGTTGTAATATACTTAATTCACATACAATTTTTACCACCTTCGTTCAACCATTTGTTTCCGTTTTAAGGACCAAAAATATTCATAATATACCCATTATTCATGCATCGATTGTTTTTAGAATGCCGAAGCTCTAACCTCTCTTTAAAATCAAACCCCTCCTCCATCCTTCATCTCAATTAAAAAAACCCGAGAAGAATGTTATTCCAATTTGCTGAGGACCATGAAAAAGCTTAATTTGAAGCAAAGGGTCATTTGGATTCCTGGTTTCATTATTGATGAGGTCAGCCAAATGTCCTTTCAGTGTGTAGAGATGCGTTGTACGAAAACACGTTGTACATCGCACCTTAGGCGTGGATGGTGTAGAGCTGAAGCTGCGGGTTTCGGATCCATTAAGAGGAATGAAATCGACCTGGTTGATGCTTCACAATGTTGCACTGCATTCGGTAAGTAAAAATTTAGAAGATGTTTTATTATTATTATTATTATTTTTATCCTTGTAGGTTATATGCACCCTTTATGTGATTTGAAAAATGGTTTGCAGGCCAAGACTGTGTAGGCAATAAAAATTACCTTTATACAAGAGAGCTCAAACCTCACCCATTAGAGCTCGCCTGTGTGCTCAAAGCAAGCAAAAGGCCAAGCAAGCAGAAGGCCAACGAAGCTCGCTTGCATTGCTTGACTTGCCATCACAAGTCATGCTCGCCTGCATTCAAGAGGCCAAGTGAAGCTCGCTTGCATTGCTTGACTTGCCAGCACAAGTTAAACTCGCTTGCACGTGTCAAACCTCGTCAATCTCGCCTGTTTGCTTGACTCGCCAGCACGAGACAAGCTCGCCTGATTATCGAGGTCGCCAGCACGAGCTCGACCTCGTTTGAATACCTTGCTCGCCTGCACGAGTCAAGCTCGCCTACAGTAAGTTCGCCCGCACGAACCTAGCTTGCCAATGAACGCCAGCTCACACGCTCGAGGGGCCCGCCAGCTGACCCCGTATGTTCTCCAAGCTCGCATGCAAGCTTGCTTGAATGTTCAAGCAACTCTCAAGCTCACCTACAAGCTTGTTAGTCTCGCCTGAATAGTGCAAGTGGCTGATTGCTTGTGGGAGTGGGTCTACCCACTTCTCACGTCCTGGGTAATGAGGCATGACTCCCATCACCCCTATAGTGGTCACATCCCATAGCTATAGAGGGAGTATGCTACTCCTTACTCCTATTAGTGGTCACATATCATAAATTAAGGGATAACCCATATGCCATCCCTTGCCTATTTATAGGACCTCTTGCTTGCACGTGTCAAACCTCGTCAATCTCGCCTGTTTGCTTGACTCGCCAGCACGAGACAAGCTCGCCTGATTATCGAGGTCGCCAGCACGAGCTCGACCTCGTTTGAATACCTTGCTCGCCTGCACGAGTCAAGCTCGCCTACAGTAAGTTCGCCCGCACGAACCTAGCTTGCCAATGAACGCCAGCTCACACGCTCGAGGGGCCCGCCAGCTGACCCCGTATGTTCTCCAAGCTCGCATGCAAGCTTGCTTGAATGTTCAAGCAACTCTCAAGCTCACCTACAAGCTTGTTAGTCTCGCCTGAATAGTGCAAGTGGCTGATTGCTTGTGGGAGTGGGTCTACCCACTTCTCACGTCCTGGGTAATGAGGCATGACTCCCATCACCCCTATAGTGGTCACATCCCATAGCTATAGAGGGAGTATGCTACTCCTTACTCCTATTAGTGGTCACATATCATAAATTAAGGGATAACCCATATGCCATCCCTTGCCTATTTATAGGACCTCTTTGCCAACATGAAAGAGGTCAGCGAGGAGTGGTTCAACAGAGGCCTATCTGGAAAGGTTCGACTGACAATATTTTTCAAGAAAGCTTGGCATCTCCAAGGCTCTTCAAGCAGATGCTCTCTCATTGGCTTGTCTGGTAGAACTTTCCTAGCTTTTTGCTTGGATTGTTGAAGCGGACTCAATCTGAACTCTCAGATTTGAGACTCTTGGCTCTTTGCAAACTCATGCATATTAGCATTCTCCAAGCATTCGGCTTTGATAGTTATCAAGCTCGGGTATTAATCGAACTCAATCACCCAGGAGCTTCTACTGCGTACTGAAGCTTAACCACAACTTCGATCGGATCATCCAAGGGAAATAAACTCGACACAAGCATCGAGGGAGGTGTCCTCTCGCTACCGAAGAACCCACGTTAAACAAGGAGAGCCCTCTCTCCACTTTTGTTATAAATCTTTGATTTCATTGATTTGTAACAAACATTCTTACCAATACAAATCTCGCATCGAGACCCAACTTTTACCCACCTACAGGCTGATATATACATGTATGATGATTCGCTATCTATTATATGTATCCATGCTACTATTAATGTTTATAGGATTTGGTATCTTTGACTATTATGATCAGTGAATGATTTTAAGGATTTGATATAGGTAATGTTTTATTTGTTCATGTATTGATTAAATAGGATGATTTGTGTGAGATACATACTGTAAATGTTTGTGATATGTTAGCAGCAACATCTCTAGGTGATGTTTCTTAGATCTTTTGGGGCTATGCCCAATATTTTATGTTTTCTTTTCGCATATCAGTTTATTATTATCTAGTAATCTGACTTTATCTTAATTTTACGTGTCTAGTAATATTTTAGTCTTTTGGGGCCAGGTAGATTCATACAATCTGTTTTTGGCTCCTTCCCTTATACCTGTGTCACAATTCACTGAATAATTTCAAATTTCGTAGTATTTCAAATATATGAAACAAATGCTTGAATTTATGCTAACCAAACCATCAAGTTTTCTATGTACATTGAAACTTCTGGTGCCCTTTGAAAAATAATATTGACCTTCATAATTTATGCCACAGCTATAAATAAATCTACACTGCACATCCATTTCCATATGTAAATCTTATATAACAAGCTTCTTTCCCTCTCCCAATTTCTAGCCTCTTTTCAAAAACTAAGCCTCTTCTATTCTTCCCTCACAATTGAAGGAACCAAGAAATGTCATTGCAGTTTGAAATTCCAAAGTCTTTCAATATAACCTTTAGGAAATTTCTACTTGAGAATAGGCTTAACAAGCGCTGACTACTTTGCAGCCATGGTGTGTTTTCTAAATACCATGAGAAAGCTTGATCCAAAGAAAAGGGTCATGTGGATTCCTGCCTTCAGTGATGGTGAGGTCAGCCAAATGTCATTTCAGCTTGTAGAGATGAGCTGCACGAAGTCACAATGTACATCGCGCCTTAGGCGTGGATGGTATGGGGCTGAAGCTACAGGCTTCAAAGGCGTTCACACGAATGAACCAAACTTCTTAGCCACTCATTTATTAATATAAAAAACCTTTTCATATCATGCAAGGATCCTTAGGCAATATGAGTGGCTAAAAAGTTTGGTGGACAACTTTTTGCTATCCACTTAAGTTGACACAAGTTTTGCTCTATATTATGTATGTATGTGTGTATGTGTGCATGTGTGTATGTGTGTACGTACGTACGTACGTACATACAATTATGATCAGGTGAATGATTTTATAGAATTGATGTAGATAATATTGTATTTGTTCATGTATCAATTAAATATGAGGATTTGGTGCGATCAGTAGCATCTCTAGGTGATGCTTGAGAGATTGTTCAATCTTTTGGGGCTATGCAAAATCTTATGGCTTGTATGTAGCATTTAATTAGCACGACACCTAGTCTTTTGTACATGAAATTGTTACCGTTTTATCATCTAAATTTATCTTAATTTTATGTGCCTTTAGGGACTTCCATTTGGCGAGGGGAACATGAACAGGACATCATGTGCCACTATGTTGAGTCATCTCGGGAAATGCGGTCCAGTACAAGGAGGTACAGCTCTAATTTTTTTTTCCTCAAAAGACAGATTCTGATCATGTACATTGACATCCTTGACATCCTTCTTCTTGATCGATTTAGTAGATGGTAATTGGGGTAGACCATGGGCTCTAAACAACATAGTCTAGGGTAGAAGGTTTATATGCAGGGATGCGATAAGTACATAGCTGTTTCCATGTGCACGTGCTTAATATGGAGAAGTATGAAGGGAGTTGTATGCTTCAAAGAGAATTTGAATGCTTATGCCAATAATTTGATCAGAAATGTTAGTGACTGGCTCTTTATGGTACTGGAACACATGGTAACAACAGATTACACAGCTATTATGGCGTCAAGAGTGTTATGAGTCGAAATTCTTCCGTTTTCTGTTCCTTTCAATGTTTATGAACTATGAGATACTGAGATTGGATATGTTGTATTTGTGGGTCAGCAAAGTCTTGTAAATTCCTTTCTGAAAAGGGGGAAAATAAAAAGAAAAACTGAAGAAAAACACTCTGAAAGTCCGTAATGTTTCTTTATATTGCCAGTTATCTATTTATCCAATGTGCAAGTGTCACTTATTAGAAAACCCCTTCTTTATTATGTCTTGCTAGTATTTGTTGTCTACTAATTCTGCTTTTCACTAATTTACGAACATCATGAGTTGTAATATTCGGTATATTCACGTTTTCCCTTGTATGAATAACTGTTCATGCGATTCGACTAACAAGATAGTCTTATAGAGGGCAGCAGACTTTTCTCAGTTTTATATATTGCTTTGTTAGCCAGAACCTTTACATATTAAGTAGATACACAAAGTGTACTTCCTATCTCATGTTGAGCTTCTTACAGGTAAAAAGTAGGTGAAGGTCTCTACTTATAGTGCCGACACTATGATATCTTCTATCATCATGAGAAAGATCTATTCACAGGTACAATGAATCTCACCAGCTTACCTACAATTATACAATCACATGAGGATGAAAAACATTATATGATTAGGGAGAAGATGTTGATATTTGGTTACTATTTCTCCTTCGGGTGACCTTAAATTGGAAGTTTCCTATTTTTCAAGGGCGATGATCTTTTTGTCACGTTCAAAATTTTTTTGGGAGATTAGTATACTGATCAAAATTTCTTCTTGCTTAAGGTCATAAATTATCCAAGAAACATTATCTACTATCTATTTTCCCCTCAGATAAGATTAGCTGACATGAGGAAAGCAACCAAACAATGTAATATTCTCGCTTATCATACTCAAAACTCCTTAGTGTTTGGTTGTGCAGGAGTTAGCCCTGGCTCAATAGTTGACAGACTTTTGCTTTGTCTGTAAAACCAATGACATAGGTTGGTTTCTTTTCCTCTTTTGTTCTCACATAACGGCATTAGAGCAAGATGATGTTCAAGGCTTCAGTCTAGGTTCAAATTCATGTGCAGTTGAATAGCCATTGTCATAGTTGAAATCTCATTTTTAGATTTACTTGATTCTTTTAACTTGCTTTCGTTAACAAACTATATATATTGTTGACCAAGCATGCGTTCTTGTGCTCTAAAAGGTGTAGACGTTGTAAAAGATCTCTACCTTTGCTTTAGAAGGAAAAAAAAAGAAAAAAAAAGAAAAAAAAGAAAAAAAAAAGGAAAAGAGGTCTTTGCATTTCTCAAAAAGATCTATGCCTGCTTGTATGACTCTTTGAGCATAAACAGAATGGAAACATAAACCATATTCTTGACGTACCCTATGAAACCATATAAAGAGAGAAAAAAATAAGGTCAGAAGTTCCCATATGAGGTGAATATACGAATATATAGAGGAATAGGAACAAAATATGAAAACAATTTCATCATGTCATATCCATTACAACAATACAACCAAAATATCATAAGTTTCATATACATTTACATATGGTACACTGTGCTGTTCATATAGTTTTAGCAGTAGTAGAATAATAAATCAAAATCATGACTCAAACGAAGAAGACCCTCATCTTTTACTTAATTCAGCACTCAATAGCTGTTCTTTTCCTGCTAACTGCTCCCACCTGGAGATCAAATAAAGAGGGGCGAAAAAACCGTTCAGACTATAATTAACAAGTAACTACAATGAATGAATTGGTTGATCTCTTTGTAAGTAGATAAGATAATAGACTATATACAAATGAATTTAGGAGTTCTGTCAACTTTCAGCCTATGAAGCACGAATACACATAACATGAAGCCGTGTCGTGTCGTGTCCGTGTCGAACACACGTGTCGAACACACGTATCCTATGTATTTTTTAGGATTTGCCTCGTGTCGGCTTGTCGGATGGCCGTGTCGGATCCGTGTTCGTGCTACATAGCTTACAGCTACTGTTGAAAGCTCAGAGCCCTTCAGCACTCTCGATCTCTTGACGGTTGAAAGGAACATTCTGCAATTGCAAGAAAAAATTGAAATGGTATGAAATATCTGTTGGCTATGTTGTTCATGAAAAGACAATCTTGCCTTTGTGCATAGTCCCACATTGAAAATTGAGATGAATAGTAAGCGGTTTATATTGGAACACCCCTTATTGGGCTTTGAATAGTGTTTTGGGTTTTGTGGGCTTTGCATAACACACGCGCGCACGCACGCCACATCGCGACGCGCACGCGCGCCTCGCCACACCGCCCACATCTTTTTGGATCTCAAAACTTTAATTTTTCCGTTTTATCTTTTGACTCGTTCGTAACGGATGCGCAGATGGCGCGGGGAGTTACGCGATATTTGGGTAACAGGCGCAATAGATGTGCGGGATGAGCAACGTCTATGAAGGCCTCAATCTCCTCTCTTCCATCTCAAACCAAGCTCTCTCGTTCTAAATTATTTTGGCTATTGTGTTACTATTTTTCTTTTGCTCAACGTTCTTCGTCAGAGCTTAAGCTTTGCTACTCTTGTTCGAGTACAGAGGCCGGCCGAACCGGGGGTTATTACCGCTAGGGGAGAGAGGATTGACTGCGCCAGGGCGATAGGCATGTCCTCAATCTTCTAGGGCATTGAAATCACGACTTCTCCCATTCAGGCCTAGTTTTCTGACTTTTTATTTTCGGATTTTATACTAATATTCTTCATTTTTAACAACAATATCAATGAATGCGTATAGCTCACTTAGGGGAGAAAGTTATTATTTTTTATTTAGGACTACTGCACAGGTGCAAATTAATTTTACATCTCTATCCTCTATACATTTCAATCTACGACCGCGCGCATGTGTGCACACGCGCACACAAATTTCCGCTCAAACTATGCTCACCCTAGGCATTTGAACCAACAAAATCCGGAAATTTCTGCTATACAAATATTAATAGTATTCTTAAGCATGAATAGCATGTATTTTGTTCTTCATTTCAGGATATATTAATGATATCACATCTGATATACATTTGCCGTATATTTCGTGTTCTCTGCTCTGAATCATAAACTCAAAAAAAAAAAAAAAACCCAGTAGTAATATAGCATTCTAACAAACGCAATAAATAATAGGTTAATTGCATTACCCCCTGCATTATACAGAATTAATCACTTCTTACCCATAAACAATTTAGAGAAGTCCCTAAAAAGTTTTCATATACCACGGATATCTAGCGTGAGATTGTTGCTGCCGCCTCCTACTCCGGAAATCTCCACTCTGTTTGCCACGCCCCGGGTCCGCGAGCCTGTTGGGATGGTGTAAGCCGTGGACTCACTCAATATAGCGCGTTGTTTGGCTCAAACAATCTCTAAAATTAACTAGTGTCCAAAATTCACAATTACATGAGCTATAATCCATGGTTTTTGTACATTTTTAGTCGTTTTGATCAATTAGATAAATAATTTCATGGTGGCCAAAATTCTAAATTTCATTAGCTATAACCCAGGTTTTTGGTCATTTCTAGTCGTTTCGACCCACTGGTAAATAATTTCGCGGTGACCAAAATTCATGATTTTATGAGCTAAATCATGAGCTATAACCCACGATTTTTGGTTATTTTTAGTCATTTCGATCCATTGGCAAATAACTTCGTGGTTGCTAAAATTCATAACTTCATGAGTTATAGCCCATGATTTTTGACAATTTTAATTATTTTACCCAATTCGATAAATAATTTCGCGATAGTCAAAATTATAAATTTTGTGAGCTATAACCAATGATTTTTTGCCATTTTTAATCGTTTCGACTCCTTAGCAAATAGTTTCACAGAGTCCAAAATTCATGGTTTCGTGAGCTATAACCCATGCCCTTTGTTCATTTTTTGTTCATTTTGATCCAAGGGGAAAAATATCACAAAGTCCAAAATTCCCGATTTTATTAGCTATAACCTATGAATTTTTGGCCATTTTTTGTCGTATTGACCAATTTGATAAATAATTTTGAAGTGGCCAAAATTCACGATTTTATAAACTATAGCGTGCAATTTTTTATCTTTCTAGTAATTTTGACTATTGAAAAATAATTTCATGGAATTCAAAATTTATATTTTCATGAGTCCCGTGATTTTTGTCAACTTTTGTTGATTGTGACCCAAGGAAAAAAATTTCATAGAGTCCAACATTTATGATTTTATGAGCTATAGTCCATAATTTTGTCATTTTAGCCATTTTAACCCATTAACAAAAAAATTGCTATTGTCAAAATTCATAATTTTGTGAGCTATAACCCATGATTTTGGTCATTTTCAATCATTTCGACCAATTGGATATATAATTTTGTGGTTGCTAAATTCTAGATTTCATGAGCACCTATGACTTTTGGCTATTTTTAGTCATTCCGACCCATTCACAAATGATTTCGTGAAGTTAAAATTCATGTTTTCGTGAGTTATAACTCATAATTTTTGTCCATTTTTGTTCATTTCGATCCAAGGGGAAATTTTTGCAGAGTAAAGAATTTTCAATTTTATGAGCTATAACCCATAATTTTTGGCCATTTTATTTCGACCCATTGGCAAGTAATTTTGCAGTTGCCAAACTTTATAATTTCGTGAGCTATAACACACAATTTTTAGCATTTTTTATCCTTTTGACCCATTAGAAAATAATTTCACAGAACTCAAACATTCATGTTTTTATACGTTATAATCCATGCTTTTTATAAATTTTCATTGATTGCTACTCAAGGGAAAAAAATTCGTATAATTCAACATTTGTGATTTCATGAGCTACAACCCATAATTTTTTTTATTATTTAGTCATTTTGACTCATTGAAAAAAAATTCTGCTGTTGCTAAAATTCAACAATTTATAAGCTATAACCCATCATTTTGGCCATTTTTAGTCGCATCGACCAATTGGATAAATAATTTTGCTTTGGCTAAAATTCTAGATTTCATGAGCATTAATTACTTTTGATCATTTTTAGTCATTTTGACCCATTAACGAATTACTTTCTGGAGTTTAAAATTCATGTTTTCATGAGCTAAAACTCATAATTTTTGTTTGTTTTTATTCAGTTTGACCAAAGGGAAAAATTCACAGAGTCTAGAGATCATGATTTCATGAGCTGTAACCGATCATTTATGGCATTTTAAGTTTTTTAGACCTATTGGTAATAATTTCATTATACCAAAAATTCACAACTTTCTAAGGTAAATCGTGAACTATAACCCAATATTTTTTGCTATTTTTAGTCATTTCGACCTATTGACAAATAATTTCGTAGTTGCTAAAATTCACAATAGTGTGAGCTATAACCCAATATTTTTGGACATTTTAGTCGTTTTAACCAATTGGATAAATAAGCTCACAATGACCTAAAGTCTATATTCTGTGAGCAATAACTCATGATTTTTGACTATTTTTAATTATTTTGACTAATTAGAAAATAATTTCTAGGAGTCCACAATTCATGTTCTTATGAGCAATAACCCACAAATTTTGTCCATTTTTTTTGTTCCACTCAAGTGAATTTTTTTGTAGAATTTAGAATTCACGATTTCAAGAGCTATAAACCCATGAATTTTGGCCATTTTAAGCAGTTTGAACCAATTGGATAAATAATTTTGCGATGATCAAAATTCACAATTTGGTGAGCTATAACCCATAATTTCTGGTCTTTTTAGTCATTTCAACCCATTGACAAATAATTTCACGAAGTTCAAAATTCATGTTTTTATGAGTTACAACCCATGATTTTTGTCAATTTTTGTTAATTGTGACCTAAGGAATTTTTTTTTGCATAGTTAAAAATTCATAATTTTATGAGCTATAATTTATATTTTTTGCCATTTTTAGTCATTTTGACTTATTAGCAAAACATTTCGCTGTTATCAAAATTCACAATTTCGTGAGCTGTAACCTATGATTTTGGCCATTTTTAGTCATTTCAACTGATTGGATAAATAATTTTATGGTGATCAAAATTTTAGATTTCGTGAGCTATAATTCATACTTTTGGCCATTTTCAGTCATTTCAACCGATGAACAAATAATTTTGCGGAGTCTAAAATTCATGTTTTTGAGTTGTAACTTGATTTTTGTTTGTTTTCGTTCATCATTTTGACCTAAAGGAAAAACTTTCAGAGTCTAGAATTCACGATTTCATGAGTTGTAACCAATAATTTTTGGCCATTTTTAGTCATTTTCAGTCTATGGAGAATAATTTCACAAAGTTCAAAATTCACGATTTCGGGTGTTCTAACCTATGATTTTGGGCCCTTTTTATTCATTCTAACCCATTTGCAAATTCACTTTTCATGAGCTATACCTATATGTAGGCAATAAAAAATTACTTTTAATCCCTATCAGAGAAGTTAAGAATAAGACTGCTAAAACCTCACCTGAAAGAGCAAAAAAGGGAAAAACGCTAGTATCTCTCAAACCGTAAGGAATTTAGCGAAACGGAGGCGACAAACCTCCTTCGGTGTTTGGTTGGCCCCGTCTCGTCGAGATAGACGATTTTCATATATAATTCGTCTAATTCCGAGTTACGGTTTGAAAGTTACGACCTGTTCTTCGTAGCATGTTCTGAAGCTCACCTGAAGAGCAACCCCACCTGCAAAGGAGTTTAGCTCGCCTGAAGGTTTCAAGCTTTAAGCTCGCCTGAATAAGACTGGCTCTGGATTGCTCGACTCCCCGTGTTCCTGGTGGAGATTCCTGTTGAACCGGAGTTCTTTTTGTTTCCCCTTTGTATGCAGGGAAAATTGCAAAGAAGAGAATAAAGAAAATTTGACTTTGTATTTCTTTGATTCCGATTACAATTCGATTACAAAAGAGAGGAGAACGAAATTGGTTCTTCCCCTTTGTTTAAAACTGGGTTCTTCACGGTGGCGATGGAGTGCCTCCCTCGAATGCTCGCGTCGAGTTTGCTCTCCGTTGACGATCCGCACGTCTTGATTCACTGGAACGATGTCTTCTCCTCACGATTTGACGTTGTGGAGAACTTGCGTGGCAAGTTTGAGAACTCAGAACGAGTTTAGAAGAACTCTGTAAAAGAGTTGATTTGAACCGATTTGAAACTCTATGAAAGAGTTGATTTGAACCGAAAGTTCGGTTAATAAGCCAAGGATCAAAGCCTC